ATTTGTTACGATGTTTGTTACGAATTTTCTCTCGTAACGAAAGGTAGATCCTTCCGCGCGTGTGGCAGGACTTTTAGTTACGGTATTTGTTACGGAAGTTCCTCGCGTTACAAGTGTTTTCCATTGACCGGTTGTCAGAACTTGGTTTTTGTTACGACTATTTGTAACGGCATTGAACCCCGTAAAAAAAATATTACCTACTTATAGTCACGAAACCGTCTGTAACAACAAATATCCAAAGACCACTTTTTGTAACGATTTTCTGGCCTTTTGTTACGGAAAAATAGCGTATTGTGAAAAACAGGGGGTACGCTGCAATTGAAATTGTTCGTAACAAATGGACCTGCTGTGATGCGTATGATACGAAAATAAATTACGAATACAAAGATTGCTATAAACATCATCATCATTACGCCCCGCGCAAACATTAATTCATATTAAAATCTGAATTCCATACCTACCAACAAAGTAAAGCAACCCATAGAACAAGCCTACTAGTATCTACACATCAACAACCTGTTCCGCAAAACGTGCTTAACAGTTCAAACACAAGTAAACAACGCAATAAGCAAATACGGTTATCCATCAATCCCATTAGGCACATTTTTCACCATACGAATTCAAACCACAAAGGTCTACGCATCAATTCCAGACATAGTTCAACAAAAACTCAACACAATCCATCCAAAGACAGGTTCGACATTCAATCCATATGACAAACGGGGCAATTAACATGGGTGTATCGGTACCAACATTTCAAGCCCGGCGCATGAGCTGCAATTGCCAACACAGAGATTACTTTAAGTCATACTTCTTATAAATTTCGGAAGGCAATACAAGAAAGGTATTAAAGTAGATCCTTACGTCGTTGTAGCTCCACTCAATAGGATCTTCGCCGACGACATCGCGAAGGGTAGTCGCCCCAGAAATGGTCGGCAAAATAAGGGGTGTGTCCGGGACTGACGCGGATGTCACGAAGACCTTGACCAAGGAAAGTGTGTCACCTACAGCATTCACAAGAGCAATTTTTGATTACATTCAAGCATATATATCAACAGACGTTCGAACTGTATATATAACATGTCATAACACAGACATTATAAGTGTAATACTTTGGAACTAGAACAAGAGGAGTACGTACATTCAGACATGTCGTACAGTACATGGTATTACATTCATGAGTTAGGTAGCGAAGCACATTATACCCTAATTTCCTATGTAATTGCAGCTTGATCTTTAAACCAAACATCCTTCAATAAACATGGGTCGTCATAATAGCAGTTATTTTACCACCCCTACATTAACAGTCTACATCGCTTTGGAAATCCACGGATCGTATCATTGTATACTTCTACACTTAGTGAATCCATGCTAATACGCAATATGAGGCCTGAACAGTCACGAAAACCTACGATATCTCGCTGAGGCATATTAAAAGTTTAATTAAACATCCTCAAAGATACCGGACCAACCTGGCCCAGGGGGGCAGAGCAGAAGTCCCTCTGCAACAACTTTTTTCTCACCGGTGCGGGATAATAGAAGCACATGTGTGCCGACCTACAACAGACAGGGCATATGAGTTGGATAAGGTAGTACGCAGTCAAGAGTAGCCTAAATTAGACACTGCACTGATTTCTAAGAAACTCCAGGGCGTCACGGAATCATACCGTCATGCTTGGCTCGGACACAGGCCTGGGAATCTCAGGGATTGAATCAATACGAGATGTGCCCTATCATATAACATGCCGAGGATGGTAAATTCCTTCGCCATCCAAATCTCATGGGATACTCATACCAAACAGGTCAGGGATTATGAATACTTACTGCCTGGCCAGTAACCGCTCCGGAGTTTCTGTGCATGAATGCATACACATCAGCCTTGATGGTTTTGAACTCATCCATCATTGCCTTCAGCTCCTCCATTCCATTCTGTAGTTGTTCCCACCCATGCTGGAATGCTACACTGTCTGTTAAACCAGTTGACTCGCTGCAGGGATGAGCTGAACTTGCCGCACTATCGACCTTTGACCGCTTCTTAATCTTTCCCCCAAGGGCCCGTCGGTACAGAGTCTCCCGAACAGAGGGAGTCCGCCCTTCAGGGGGAACCTTGTTTAGCTCATTCTGTAAATAAGTCTACAGGAAAGATTTAAGTGAGGCCGAACTTGCTCTTGTTGTTAGAGATGTAAATACTGACTGAATTGTAACTAAGTTGGGAACGAATTTATTCTACCAATATCTCCTCGGTTTCTTGGTCATCCTTTCCCTTGCCTTGTGTGCGACTGGAAATCCAAATCTCCAGATTGTCGGGGTCCTTCCCCTTTGCCTTGATCTGCAGCAATACAAGGCCTTCTGTCATCGAAAACATAATGAAATACAGGAGAGGAAAATATGGGGATGGAGCATGACATGACTAATTACTTAATTGTAATAAAAGGTACCTCCTCTGCCAGAGTCGTGAATGACTTCCGCCCAGTACGATGTGGAAAGCTTCTTTTCGCTACGTTCGACGCATTTTTCTTGGATTGAAGCTACGTCAATCAAAGTTATTTAGTTCTCAGTCCATGCCCGTGCAGATTTAACGTATATTAATTTGGCATGTCCCTATGCGTACCTTCACCTTCTCGTCGCGCCAATACTCAACCAACTTCGGCCACTGATCGGGCACAATCCTGCTTGAGGGAACCTTCTTCAGTGCTTCTTCATCGTCCTCGATCGGATTGAAGTAAGTTGATTTGATGCTGTATTTCCAGTGCCTCCAAACTTCCCTTAGGTCAGCCAAGACCACTTTCTCCGCTGAGTCTGGTAATCCGCTGTTACTCTGGAATGCCGTTTCACACGGTTTCCACCAGGTCCGGAGAAGATGGTAGGGCCATATATAAGAATCTATATGAAATAAAAGAACTTTCAATTTAATGAAGTTTGCATCACCTGAACCTCCATCCATGCACCCTGTCTCTTCGTCTCCGGTATCTCAGCGAACGTGGGGTAATGTAGAGGAAGTCGAGCTCCGTTGCGTGCAATGACCCCAATGGCTGTCTTGTACTCGTTTACGTCGGGTCCGACGATGCTTTTACCATCCGGCGATGTGAATACAAGCATCCTGTGATCTTTTCCCCATCCACGCGGCATTCGTGCCGCCCCTCTCCCCTGCTTTTTCTTTGACGAACCAGCTGACACAAACAGGAGATTACATGTTCTAATAAGGATATTACATGCAAAATATGAAGTCACTAAATGTAATCGGTAATCTTTGAAGGCTAATTTCCAAACCGTCGTGCGATGTCATCTCGTCCAATGGTGCCATATTGCCCGCCTCTGTTCCTGTCATCAGAGTGGGGTCGGAGCCTGGCCCTTCATCCAAGAGTGGCATATCACTCTCTGCAGTCTCCATGTCCTGCGTCGGCGGAAGTGTCTCGTCATCTGCTTGTGTGGGGGGGATTGTATCATCGTCATCCTGTGTCAGTGCCGTCGGATCAAAAAGTGATGGAACATCCCTATCATCATGTTCCTGTTGGGGTTAACAGTGTCAGCCTATTGTAGTGTTATACTGAGAGTTCAAATAAGGACATGCTTTCGGCAAAGGAACCACATTACCTCCAAAGGGCCCTCTGAATCCTGAAGCACTGCCCTTCGAGTGGAAGATGTTGGCTTCATGCTTTGACCACGAGCATCGCGCTCTTTCTCCCACTCTGATGTGATGGACCGGAGTCGCTGGAGCAGTGGCGAGACCCGAGATCCCTTCCGTTTTGTCACTTTCTTTGTGGGATTGCGGATGGGCGATGGATTCCTGCTTGCGGGATGAGTTGCCTCTAGGGGGCTGTTACGTGCGGATGCCCGGGTAAAACGTCTTGCGGGAGAGACTGCCGGATCCTGTGACCCTCCAACGGCAGCACGTTGAGATTTGCCCATAACCTGCAAGACACCAGTGTTAGTTGGCAGTATGAAAACGTATATTAGGAGAAAATCAAAACACACTTATCACAACAAAGCTTATGAAGTGACATATTACGAGAAATTCACATAATAGTTACTGCAATTAATCAGGGTGAATTGCTTCAGCATACGCAAACGGGGGTAAAGAGCTTATCCGCGTTGACATATTCGGAAAAAATCATAACATCCTGCGCGCGCATAATGGATGCAAAGTGCTTCAGCAAATCACGCGAAAACAGGGCCTATGAACGATGGCATGCATGTCCGAACCAAACAATCCTTTCCCGTGTTGTGTCCCGTCCTCCTCCCCTCGAGCAGCCCGGTTCTCTTTGGTCTCTATGTCTCCGAGATATCTTGAGCAGAAAGTCACGCATTCTTCCATGAGGTATCCACGTGCAATCGAACCCTCAGGTTGTGCCCTGTTCCGTACGTACCTCTTCAGAGTACCCAAGTACCGCTCAATGGGATACATCCACCGGTACTGCACCGGACCGGCCACCATAGCCTCCTCAGCCAAATGGATAGGCAGATGCTCCATTACATCAAAGAATGAAGGTGGGAATAGCTTTTCAAGATGGCATAGCGTCAAAGAAATTCTTTCTTGGATTCGCTCCAGTTCACGAACTGTGTTATGAGCTGAGCACATCGAATTGAAGAAGTTACAAAGTTCAATCAACACGAGCACAACATTTTTGGGAAGACACCTACAGGAAGTGTTGAATCAGCACCTTCAGTTATATTTAGAGGAGGCATATATCATGTTAATTAAAATAATTGCGTTTCAAGGGTATACCGTCGGGCAGCAATAGGTAGAATTCGTTGCATAAGAACATGGCAATCGTGGCTCTTAAGTCCCCATATTAGTTGTTGTTCTACCTTCACACGACGCGATAAGTTTGAACTGAACCCATGAGGTGGTCGGAGGTCCTTCAACACAGATAGGAATATCCGTTTTTCGGGGTTACTCATGGTGTACGTAGCTGCCGGCAAATATATAGCGCCCCTAGGACCCGATACCGGGTGTAAAGAACTACGTATTTGCATCAACTGTAAGTCTTTCCTCGTGTTCAGATTGTCCTTTGTTTTCCCCTTAGTTCCCAACAATGTATACAGTACATTCTCACACACATTCTTTTCAATGTGCATCAAGTCGAGGTTGTGACGTACCTCATTCTCAGACCAATAAGGGAGCTGAAAGAATATGCTCTTTTTTTTCCACACCTGTTGCTGCCCGTCCACCCCCCGGCGACGCTTGCGAGACCCCTGTGCAATGCGTTTCTCAATCAAGTCAACCGTACGATACTCAGTAGGCATATCCTGAAGCTGCTGCAGAAGTTCAGCGCCGGTCAAGCGAGAAGGCTTTCCGTCAAAGCTCATCGAACCGTCAAATGCATGTTTATCAAAGCGCATTCTATGCCCAGCCGGCAGGAACCGTCGATGCCCGCAATAGCTATACTTATGTCCATTTTTCAGGTATCTGGAATGAGTTTTTAAACCACAAACAGGGCATGCATTCGCCCCACGAGTCGGCCACCCTGACAACATACCGTAACCGGGAAAATCACTAATAGTCCACAGCAATGCAGCTCGCATCTGGAAATCCTCCTTAGTACTCGCATCGTACGTCCGAACACCATCATACCAAAGCTCCTTAAGCTCATCGATCAAAGGTTGAAGGAAGACATCAATCCGATCCCCCGGGCCATGCGGGCCGTCTATAATCGTAGAGAGGATGAACGATGGTTGCTTCATGCACAGCCACGGAGGTAGGTTATATATCACAAGTACGACGGGCCAAATACTATAACTCACACTCATATTCCCAAAAGGGTTGAAACCGTCAGTGGCCAGACCGAGTCGTACGTTGCGAATCTCCTCAGAGAACGTCGGGTACCGATGATCGAAACTCTTCCACGCAGGACTATCTGCTGGATGACGCATCTTGCCATCGTCTACACGCCCTTCGGCATGCCATCTCATAGAAGATGCAGTTTTGGAAGATACGTACCATCGCTGCAATCGCGGAATTAATGGAAAGTACCTTAACTTCTTCACTGGAGATCTATCTTTACCCTGTGTAAATCGCTTTTCCCTACACACAACACAAACCTCACGGTCAACATCTTCCCCGGTAAACAACATGCAATTGTTGATGCACGCATGGATAGTCTTGCATGTGAACCCCAAGTCCTTGGTCAGCTTATTAGCCTCATAGAAGTTCTTCGGAAGGACAACATCGTCTGGAAGTGCATCCCGTAACAGCTCTAACAGCAAATCAATAGAATTATTAGACCAGTGGCACAAAACCTTCAAGTGCAAAAGCCGTGCGATAAACGAGAGTCTACTCATCTTCTTGCACCCTGGTATGAGCTCTTTCTCTACATCTTCTAACATCTTTCTATACCCCTTACTGCCATGATGTATATGTTCATTTTCGTCATCCCTATGAGGTTCATTTCCACTGGGCCCCGGATCGGTGTGCTCTGTATATGCACACTCTCGCAATAGAAGTTCTAGTTCCTCCTCCCAACGCATTGGCATATTGTCGTTTGCAACAGCAGGGTTCACCTCTCCTTCTCCGTGGCAAGTCCAAACCTTGTAGGTTTGGTCGAATCCATAACGAATACAATGGAGCAAGACATCTCTACGAGATTTTGTTAAGCGATTTCCGCAAGATGTACAGGGGCAATAGATGCAAGATTCAGAGCTACGATCTTTAAATGCGAAATCTAAGAAAGCCCTGACCCCGTCCAAATATTGAGCGGAGATATGGTTCGCATCGTCTATCCAACTCCTATCCATCTAGCAATATAATATACATGCGATTCCATCAACAAAACATGCAACCAAAAACATATAAGTACAACATAACCTTCACCGATATAATAGGAAACATGGATGCTCTTCATGACGCTAGCATTATAATTTATCACAACATTAAGGCACATGGACCAAAATCAGCAGCCCTCACCACTTAAAAATCTTCCATAGATGCAATGTAAATAGTATTATATGGATATATTTCCCGTCACAAATGCTGGGCCGTCACAAATAGACACATCAGCAGCAAGAGAGAGTGAGAAAGAAGTGAAAAAGTTTCTGAAATTGACAAGACATGGGGAGCATGGGGGGGACATCCGTGTGTATGCTGCAACCACTATATCTATCTATCTATCTATCGATATGGGACTGGAAGATGGAGATTGAGATGGAAGACGTGTACTATAAGAATTTTGAGATAGATATACATATATATATATAGAGGTACATAAATGGCTCTCTACCCCAATTAGAGGGATACAAATAGGAATAGTACACAGCACCAAAGCCACAAGATTCACTGTATCTGTTTCCACCAAAACTGCATTTGCATCATCTTCTTCTCACATTACTACTCTCGCCCTCATCCTTTACTCTCTACTCTCTACTCCCTACTCTCAATGCAAAGTGTAAATAAGCCCTGGATTTTATCCTTAATTTATAGAAATGCTATAATGAATATATGTATGGGTGACTGTATGTGTATACGCATACTACAAATGCAGGATAACGAAATCTGATAGTAAATTACCTACGATCAGAAAACTGAACTGCAATTCAAGAAGCATGCAACTTGAGGTATTTCGCAATTCATAAATCTTGTTAAATGCTTCCCAACAGCCGAATTAAGTTTCCTGACGTAATGTATTACTTTGTATTCTGAACAAATTAGCAAGAGGATTGAGCTAATATGTTTTAATCTAACATTTAAGCTACCAGAACAAAGAAATACCTCATAAATTTAACATACAGTAAAGCATTGCACTTGGTGTTTAACTATAAATTAAAGATAAATATCAAAAAAATAAATTCAACCAAAAAAACTCTCCTTCTGGACAAAGGAATACAAATTCACCTCAAATGTAACACACGATAAAGCCCAAACAAATGGAGTTAAAATGTAAGACTATATCCATACCGAGAAAGAGGCGAAGAACTTTGGAGTAATACCAAATCTTTCGGGAGAAAACTTAAAAACCTTACCTAGATGCCGGAGTAGATCCCTCGTTTCCGTTGATTTCACAATGCTCGTCGTCCTGCAGGTTCAGAGGAAGGAAACTCGATCGAGTTTTCTACAAGGGAGAAATGAGATTATGCCCCTAATTTGTCGAAGATACCTCGCGTAATACAAAATCTTTTTCGAGCTACCTTCAAAACCTTACCTGGGTGAGGTGCGCCGGAGTAGATCCCAGGGACGGATCGATTTCACCTCGCGCGTCGTCGTCGGCAGCTACAGGAAATCGGATCGCGGGCGACTGTGAGAAGCGAACGAGGGAAATGAACCAGATGCCCTAATTTGTCTAAGTGTGGGATGATATAGCGTTTTTGTCCATTTTGATCGTTTCTGGAATGAAAGCGTCAATCCAGTATTTTAGTTTTTTTTTTTTTTTTTATTTAACTTTTCCAAAAATAAAAAATTAAATACCAGTAGTTACGAACACTTTACGTAACTAATGTTATTTTGACCAAATTCTACCATCTCATTATTTGTTACGATATTTTTTGCGTAACGACAGAACCTAAAACGTTGACCGGGTTTTTTTTTTTCGTCACGGATTTTGTCGTAACTAATATATCTATTTGTTACGATTTTATTGTTACGGACTCTCAACCCGTGGTGAATAGCCCTTTTTTTGGTAGTGAATATTTAAAAATTACATTTTTTCGGTTGATTGTATACTAGCACGGGCGTTCCCCCTAGTACTACAAATATTTTCGGTTAACCTAAAGTTTTGGTTTGAATATAGTTCATAGTTTCGAGTATTTGTTTGATTAGTCGACAGATGGAGTAATATTTTAAAAAAGTTATGCAATTTGATTTTAATCGATAAATAAGATGATTTTCTAACTAGTAATACAAAAAAAATATAAATATAAATAAGGTAAAATTGCTCATAACTCCTTTGTGGTTTCGAAATTCATCGTAAAATCTTATTTTACTTTAAAAATTGCATGGCACCCCCTTATACTTTCAAAAACATTGCATGAAATTCCACCACAATGAAACTTTCCTTGTGTGAGGAGAAAGGATTTCCTATCTATATGTTTTCCATGGCGGGGGGTTCATACAATATTTTTTTAAAATAAAATAAGAATTTACGCTGAATTTCGAAACCACAAGGGGGTTTCATGCAACATTTTTTAAAGTATAAGGGAGTGTCATGCAATTTTTTAAAAAAATCAGAGATTTACGCTAAGTTTGGAAACTATAAGGAAGTTATAAAAATTTTTTCATATAAATAATCACATTTATAAATACTTATATGAAATAATATAAAGATAAGATATAAAATAATAGAGTAGTATATATAAAAACAAATTAGAAAAAAATTATAACTATAAATCATTCAGTGAAAATTTTTAAATTTAAATGTACTAAGAGATTTTGAATCAGATAATTGATTTTAGTAGAAAATACAGAAAATATATAAAAAAAAAAAAACATATAAGATATAAATTGCAAATAAAGTATTAAATATAGGATGCATCAATCGTGATTAAGATATGAAAAATACGATTTTTTAGGATATGCGGGATATATTATGTCAGAAAGATAAATAATTGATAAAAATGATAATTGAAAATATAAAAAAAATATATTTTGCAATTTTTCATAGTTTATTGGCTCGTCCCCACAATAAAATGTGTTATTTTTATTTTTTATTTTTTTAAAATTTTCAAATATACAAACAAAGGTTCCATAAACTAAATGGAAGTATATTAGTAGAACCATTTAGGTAGAGCAGAACATAATATAGATAAAGAAGGATGTCTTATAAGTATATGAAAAAAACATTGGCAGCATTTCAATATATTTTCGGAGTATATCAAATTTATACCAAACAGATTGAAGGGAAAATATACAATAGGGATCAATATTAAACTAAATAAGTAAAGGAAGAAGTGTAGAACAATTTTATTTTTACTTATATTTTAATGGGGGCCAAATTGAAACTTAACATGACTGAGTGATAGTGTAGACCAACTTGGGAAATTATATAACACCCTATTGTGTTGTAGTAAAAATGCATAAAACAAACCGTGTTTTATTTATTCCGTGAAACCCCATTGTATTAATATAAAGTTTGCATGAAACCTTGTTCAAAACTGATATTTGGTTTTAAATAAAGACCTAAATTATGCAAGTTTTATATAAATAAAAAAGTGTAAAATATTCTAAATAAGTTTTTGAATAAAATAAATAAATAAATAATTGATTAAATCATCTATTTTTATAATTTTTATAAAAATTAAATAACAATTTTTCTCCTAAAAATTATAAAATGAAAGATTAATCAATAATTTATTTATTTATTTTAGGTAAAATTGCTTATAACTCCCCCGTGGTTTCGAAATTCAGCGTAAAATCTCCCTATACTTTAAAAATTGCATGGTATTCCCTTATACATTAAAAAACGTTGCATAAAACTCCACCACCATGAAACTTTCCTCGTGTGATAAGAAGATGATTTTCTATCTATATGTTTTGCATGGCAGGGGGGTTTTATGCAATATCTTTTAAAGTATAAGTGAGCGTCATGCAAGTTTTTAAAGTAAAATGGGGACTTATGCTGAGTTTCGAAACCACAAAGTGGTTTTATGCAACATTTTTTAAAGTATAAGGGGACGTCATGCAATTTTTAAAATAGAGGAGGAATTTACGCTGAGTTTCGAAACCACAAGAGAGTTATGGGCAATTTTGCCTTTATTTTATTCAAAAAAATTATTTAGAATATTTTACGTTTTTTATTTGTATAAAACTTGCTTAATTTAAGTCTTTATCTAGAACCAAATATCTATTTTGGACAAGGAGAGTGTTTTATGCATTTTTACTAAAAGATAAAGAGGTGTCATATGATTTACCAAACCAACTTTCCGTTAGATCTTATCATAATGTATTAATTCATGACATAGTAATCATATCATATATATATTCGAAGGTTTTATGTCCCACCTTCCTAAATACTAATTTTTTGAATTTTTATTTTTCTAAATTTTGATTGATTGATATAAATTTAGATGTAATATTTAATTTTTATTTAATTAATATTTTAGATTTGATTAAACTATTTATAGCCCAATTAAAGATATCGTGATATTATAGATATTGAATATATGTTTAGATTTCATTTTATCCATATATCATATTAAGTTATTTATTTTGTTTAGATTTGAATATATGTAGAGACTATGTTTCATAGTCTATATATAAATAAACCCTTATTTTAATTATGAATAATAATGATATTTATTAGTCCACTAAATAATTTCTAGTTACACCATACCTATCAATATATATATATATAAAAGAGTATACAAAAGTATTCATCTATTTTTATTCATCAACAAAAATTTCACTTTTATTCATCAAATCAGATTCTACATTTTAGGGAGGAGACCAAAAGAGAGGGCACTAATATAATCAAGTATTGTGAGTTTGTTTTTTGAATCAATGAAATTGTTCCAACAATATCTTTAGGGCCAGCCCTGGGGCCTGAGAGGGACATCCCCGCCCAAGGCCCAATATAAATGAGGGACCCGAAAAATATTTATATTATATATGTATAGTTATTATATATAAAATTTATTTGATTTACTTGAAAATGAAAGAAATGTAATTTGATGGTGTGAGGTTATTTTGTAATTGTGAGGTCATAGATCCCTCGAAAGTCATAATACACCCTGAATATCTCTTATACAAAAATACGATAATGAATTAGTTGAAGCGGTCGAATAAAATCCAAATTAAACCAAGCAAACAG